TGTCTATGAATTATATTTAAAAGAAATTTTTTTTAAATATTGATTAGAACAAAAGTTATTTCATTTGTCAGAATGTCAGATCTCTGTGTGACACCCTGTATATTTTATATACTATACAATTTTAAATAATAACAATACATACATAAAAAATGGTTTGACATTAGATAAAAAAAATACCTATTTGTAAACCAAATAGAACAAATCATAATTTATTTATTTACATGTAAGCTGATCAATATTTCCAATATATTTCAATACTCAACTTTACAAACAGAATAAAAGTAAAACATACATGCTGGTAAAATAAACAAAACAAAAATTATACATAATCGAAAATCTGAGTTAACACACATGAAAACATACATACTTACAAAACATTGAAGATGTTCCGTTTGCTGAAGACATTCATGGACACAGATTGACAGCTATTCGACAATATTATAGACCGAATTTCATTTCAATTTTATATTTTCAGCAACAGATAATTATCATATTATTCCATTTTGACATCATAAAAGACATATTTAACTCAATGTTTCAAATTTGAATCGAACACTTCATACAGACAGATGATTTTGTATACATTTAATGAAGATTAAAATAAAACAACTTATTCATTGCTAGAAGACAAAATAATCTACACCAATGATAACAATCTCAATTAAATCATTGTTCATTCAGTCAGATTACAAATAATTGTATAAACAAGAAGGACTATGGCAATCATGCTTTATAACATACTTCATACCCAATAAACAYGTGTATTGGATTTTATTATAATAACTGKTATGATGTAAAATTATTCAAATGAAAGATAAAACCATTATATTTATAATTTTGTTTTAATTAAGTGTGAACATAAGTCAAACATTAGAAATATAACTAATCAACTAAATAACCAACTAAAATTAATATTTTGGATGTTGATTATATTTTTGCTTACATGTTATTATAAAGAACATTGATATAGTCAACTATTGGAAAAGACAAATATATATTATACATATATGACATTGTATTTTAAAACTTGATTTTATTTTTAAATAGGTTTGGTTAAAATATTTTTATGACTGTATTATAATATTACATAATTTTATTGAAAAACTAAAAGCAAATTTAAATATAAGAAAATAACAAATATTTATTAATAGTCAGAAAATATAGCACTACATATTGACTATTAAAATGATTTAGCTGGTAGTACAATTAATAATTATGTAAGGTAAAAAAAATATTTTAACCAAACCTATTTAAAAATAAAATCAAGTTTTAAAATAAGAAAATAACAAATATTTATTAATAGTCAGAAAATATAGCACTACATATTGACTATTAAAATGATTTAGCTGGTAGTACAATTAATAATTATGTAAGGTAAAAAAAATTAATTGTATTGTGGATATTGAAAGCCATAATACCATCCATTATTTCATTGCGTAACAAAAAGGATCCAGTCTTAAGTGTATACAGTAGACATACAGACACATAATATAACTATTTTTTTTTTTAAATAAAGTGAAGTAAAAAACAATTTTTACATTTTTTGTTTTAATGAGATAGTATAATTTCCAATCAAGTAATGTCATACAAATTACGTTCATACCATTTGTAAGTTCATTCGTACCATCAAAGGATAATAATTTAAACATGTATTCTATTAATATAAAGATGATCCTTAAATTAACAATTATATAGTAGTAACAATTAATAGATTTATATACAAGGAATCCACAAGTATGTATTTATATTTAATACATACTCTAATGCATAATAAATGGTTGATATATTATATACCTATTTATATGGATATCATGTACATCTATTTTTGATTAATAAGTTAATTTGTCCAGTAAATAAGGTTTTTTTTGCCATGCAACATTATGTATCAAAACAAGTGGTATTTAAATAAAAATAATGATTATTCTAATATCAGTTCAACTGGAACAAAATTTGAACTACAAAATATAAGCAATTTTTTTTTTTTTACTTGTAATAATCATGTATGTACAATGTACATATCCAAAAAGTTAGAAGAACTGGTTTAAGACAGTAAATTGTTATTGATATTCATTTAACTTTGCATTATATTACCATTATCTTTTTTAGCGATTGCCTGATGAATTGTAATCATTATTAGAACGTTTCCTGTTATTATAGTTATTTCGTTGAGAGTTGAGACCATGTTGAGACCATTGATTGTTTCCACTAGGAGGCGGTGGTGGTGGCATCATACGACCATTAGCTAGACTCCATCCTGCGGCTTGCGTTAATGCAGCAGCAACAATAGCCGGACTCAAAGGCAACATTGGATTATAGGTGTCTTGACCATTAATACCCAATGACTGTAGATTAGGCATGTCTACACTCCCCCGATTATCATGTTGTGAGTGATACCAATTTCGATAATTGTCATTATGGCGATTATTAGAACGCTCCCAGGGTTCACTAGGTGGAGGAGTTTGATGACGATTTTTAGGAGCTTGTGGTTTTGGGGCGGCTTCGGAAACACGCACTGAAACGTCCTTAACAATATGATCTTCACCACATAAACTAGCAGCTACCTCAGGATCAAGGAAAGTTACAAATGCAAATCCACGGAATGGATTTTTGGGTACAAACACATTGATGACTTCTCCAAATTTGCTGAAATACTCACGAATGTCATCAGCTGTTAAATCTTCTGTCACACGACCCACAAATACTTTTCCAGAAAGCTCTGAACCATTACCTTCCTAAATTATATAGATACCAATATAAAAATTCAATAATAATAATAAAAAATATAATTAAATAAAATATAAAACTAAAAAATATTATTATATTGATTTAACTTTTAACTTAATAATCTACTAAATTTATTTTACCTTAGACTTTGGAACCTTAACTTCACAATTACGACCATCAATCTTGTGACGCTGAGAAAGAACTCTTACTTGTGATTCTAAGTTAGTATATCTTAAAAATCCATACCCTCGAGATTGTCCATTTTTATCTCTTTTTATCTAATAATAACAATATATAAATGAAAATATCTATGATGCTAAATAGTAAACACATAAAACACTATTAAATAATTGTATCTCTTTCCCTTTCTCTTGTTCTACACCTCCTTGGAAAACTATTCTTCATCTCTTCTTTACTCACATAGCTATTTTCATTCTATTCATTCATTTCTTCTTCAGTTCACCTAACAATATGTTTTATTTAATATTAACTAATAATTTCCATAGCTCTGTTTAGTAGCTCTCTTCAAAAAATGACTGATAAACTATGTCAACCTATTTTTCACTTTGTCTACAATTGGTACTATTCCCAACACATTGACTTCCATACTTACTTACACTCAAGCATATTTTTCCATGTTTCAAATTTGTACACACTATTGTATTTGAAATAAATTTATAAAAAATAAATAAATGTTAATTACATAAAAGAAATTGTAATGATTCCCACTATGTAATTGTACTCTTTTTAGTGCATTATTGTGTAAACCACTACATTATTACCTATCTTAATCATATGCAATACCCATCAACTTCTCAAATACTTCTTCCAAAATTATATAAAATTGTCTATGCTTTAATTTTACTCAGCCTTCACATGTCTACTCTGCTTTTTCAACTCTATCATACCCCTTAGACATATCTATAAATATCATAAACAAATGTCTTTTTTTCTTTGTATATTATTTAATAATTGTATAATTCTAATATTTTAAAATAAAATATTCCTCTCCTCTTCTGCAGTTATATAATTATGTACAATAAGATTTATGTTTATGTATGCATTTTTTTGAAAATTTAATTATTACCTGTAACATAAGTAGTTCTCCAAATTGACCAAAGTATTCTTTCAATTTTTGTTCATCATAAGTGTATGGTATATTAAGGACAACTAAATCTGAACATTTCAATTTTGTCTCTAATCTTTTTGTTTTAGCTGTTGGATTTTCTACACTATCATCAATCTTTCTCTTATTTTCAACTAAAATGGTAAAATCATAGATAAATATAAAATTATAAATGTATAAAGGAAAACTGGCATTATCATAGTACACAATGTAATAAAATATCACATATTTATTATTTAATGTATATTCAGTAGTTTTAATTAAATAATACAAATTATTGAAATCCTGGATGAAAAAGTCTGCTTTAAAAAAAGATAAACAAAAATCCAAAATCCAAAATTCAAAATATTCTATGAAATTTTCATATACAATTATAAAATTATACAATTAATATTCATTCATCATTTAAAAAATGTGGGGAAAATATTATTAATTTCTATCAATAAAATTAACTAAATAATATATATGTATTTAATAATTATTTTCCTTTCTTAATTTGTTCAAACAAAATATTATTTATTATTGAATGTTGACTAATGATACTATTAGGTAATTAATAATCATTAACTTTTGTTCAATACTGAAACTTAAGTAGCATTTTTAAGATTTGTAATTAATTAAGGTAGTATATTAACATTATTAACCAAAACATAAAAATTATTTTTGCTTAGGAAAACACTCATAAATGAGATCAAATGAGATTAAAGAACATATTTTTATTTAACTGTTCAGTTTTATTTTCAAATTTAATGAAAATAAACAACAATAATAATAATAATATTAATGGTGAGTTCTAAATAGTAAATACCCATTTTATGTATTAAAAAATGTTGAATACCAGCRCAAATATTATTTATTAAATGCCTATTGCATTGCTTACCATCTAAAAATGAAGTGAAATATTCTACAACAGGTGATTTTAAATATATATTTTATAGGAAAAATTTTAAAAACACTGTTGTCATATCATGAAATTACCTTTGGGGAAAACACAGTAGTAAGGCGTTTTTCCCCATTCRTTGTCAGGCACATGGAATCGGAAGTCGGCCAACCTAACACCTCTGACAACGTTGTTTTCCGTGCGAAACTTAAGACCACTAGCCCCAGGAAACTGGGCCGTTAATGTAGATAGCAGTAATGTACCATTGTCTTCAAGCGGCAGTTCRACCGCTTCACCATATTCTTCGTCAGACACCAATACATATTTGACAGACATGTCGTCAAAATAACGACGATCCTATTGGGAATTTCAAAAGGAATACTGTTCCTTCTCTTACAAAATGCTAATCTCTGACGCACTGTGTGGAGATATTCAAGATTAATGGTTGCTATGATGTTATATTACTTTGATTGRTCGACCTAATTGATTTTTATGACAATGAAAGTCGGATATTAACAGCGGGTTTGAACACACAACTTAAGACAGCGACACAGGCCAATAATTGTTACCTAATAGTTTGATACAGATGTGACAGTAAAATTAAAAAGCACGACGCACGTACAAGATCATTAAAAATTAATACACGGGTAGTGGAGTCCGGAATAGGGTAGATCACACRAAAACGTTGAAAACACGACGTACAATCCAACATCTATTCTATATAATATGCTTCAATGTTCAATTGCTTCAATAATTCATAAAAAAATTAGAAAGATTAAATATTCTACCTACCTATTATCAAAAATGTATTTTTTTCTAAAAAGATTCCGAACCATTTGCAGACTTCCTTGTATGGTTAGAGGTTACTGGTTAAACGTTAAACGCATTAATACCACAGAACAGCTGCTACTAGTATTGATAGTAAATTGTTCAGTAGTGATACGCCCCAAATGAAAAATAAATCACTAAATCAGTAATTAAGCGAGTGAGTCATAAGTCATATTATATTCTTCATATACTATATAGACATATAGTATATTATAGACTATAGACTATAGTACTTACTGGATGTTAAAATTTTGAACTTCGCTTTTAAAATATATTTTTAATTTGTGATTAATAATTATATTATTTATTTTATGTTGTATAATATAATATTATTATTTTAATAATGTTACACCGAAATATTGAATACAATATAATTTAATACTGCATGAAACTATGAAAGTTTATTTTCATAATATTAAGCAAAGTAAAAATAACTTGACAATTTTAAAAGCAAGGAAGTTGAATGTAGGTTACACAACCTAACCTAACTTAAGTAAGATACAGGTCGTTCTAGTTGACGTATTCAATGCGAGTTCAATGATAAATCTTTGAATAGGAACTTATATAAGTCAATACCAAGTATCATTGAACGGTGGAATGAATAGGTTGGCGCTAATACCTTAAAATTATTCTAACTACCTACATTGAAAATTGAATTGTGTATAGAAAGTAGGAATCGATTGAAGAATCTAATATATATGTATTTTATTTTCCTTCTAGTTATCGCGTATTCGTGTAGGAACTTGTATTTGCCAAACCATAATATATATTTTGTGGCCCTGTGGGTAATCCTAAATGCAGTTAAAGTATCCTAGAAAAAAATTCCAGTTTATACTAGCTATAAGATAATGTTTTAAATAATTTATAAAAAAAAAAAAATCAATAATCATAATTATCAAGTCATTTACTATTTATAAAAATCGAAATTATTATTCATTCAAAAACAATACAGGTATATAATATATTAAAATGATTTATTTCGTCAAGTAAGTCACTTACAATTACAGTTAGAATTTATGTTAATATACCTACTAATTGAAACATTTAATTGTGCATCACATCGTATTTTTCCTTTCACCTAACAATGTATCGGATTTTTTTGTAGACTACTGGCCTACCGGATAATCTATAAACTCTCCAAATAAGAAAAATTCGCTTCATCAAGTAAAAAGGTATATGTATATCGACGCTGTGCAAGTGTATTACTATCGCTCTGGGGTGAAAATCTTGGCGTTATTTGGCATTACTTGGGGGATACTGCTACAAGTGCTACACAGTACACACCATTACTGGCATTAATTTAATTTGGTGAACTTTGATCTAATTTATCATTGTTCATTCATTTTTTTTTTATTTCGTGAAACATTCTGACGTCCAAGTATTTATATATAACTAAATTTGTCAATTGGTCTATATTACGAGTACCATTTAAAGCGGAATAATTTTCTTCACAGCCATCGGCATTAAATAATATTCGATATTAAAGTATACTATTCTTAATTTTAATGATTTATTCCGTAGAATTAACGAATGTTTATAATCAGTATTGATTGGGTAACTTTCTCAATACTCTCGGTTTCTAAATATATTTTTTGTACAGTCTCATTTGGATTTGTTCTAGCTCGAATTTTTTGATCAAATAGTCTTGTGTAATGTGATTTTGAACTTCTAACAGCAATTATTACATTTAGGAGGCAATTTATACATTACATTTTTTTAGCTATACAAATAAAAAAGTAAATTATCTAGGTATATAAAAATGTCCTCAATGTGGCTATTGAAAATATTTCGGAATGGTTGGGGATTGCACAAGCCCCCTCACCCGTTTGCACCACTACAATATTATATTATAACTTACTATAGGTCTTTACAAACGGGTCAATGGGTGGCCAATAGCCATTGGTCAATTAGTGCTGAGGCTGAGCATTTTATCATGAGGGCCATGAGGCAGACCACGATTTAAAATATTTCTCAAATCGTGATGTGTTATTGACGTTATTGACTTATTGTGTTCTGGCTGTGTGGCTGTAGTGTCTAAGTGATGATGTCACGATGATAATAAATGATAATAGTTTATATTTAAAGGATTGTTGATTCTTTGACCTCTGTCTCTTATCTAAGTTGTTACTAATTTGTTGTCTGTTGATTGCTCAGATAACAAATTTGTATTTTGTTGTTTTTTAATCTTTTTACCTCAGTTCTAATAAACTGATTGATCAATAATTGATCATTTAACATTTACAGATTTACAAACTAGGTAATTATTTTTATAGGCGTAAATACTATAAATTAATAAATAGTTAGTTTGTTAATCCCTGTCTATTACGTATAATTTACGGATACTGACTATTACTGGTTATGGGATCCACTGGAAATCGACTACTATACCAATTTAACGGGGAATTTAACTTGTTTACAAAATAATTGGTGTAGTCTTAAGACGAAAATCTAGTTACACATAGTAATAGCAGACGGTAGTATAGTCATTCTCTCTCTCCTCATCTTCGTCAGTCTGCACTCATCCGTCATCCGTCACCATCATCGCCATCATTACATCATCATTTCTACGTGTTGAAATAGTATTCTTGAAGACTCGTAGGACCGGTATTTTGCAGTGTTTACATAAACATATTTTTTACTTCTCCCTCTATGTTGAACATTCTCCCARTWATTTCGTTGTGTCGTCATAATAATCCACTCCTATCGAGTTTCTCTTAGTTCGCKTTTTTTACACACATTTTAATGTATAAAATCAAAATATTAATTTTTTTTAAGCACCTAATTTGAATACTAAAATTTAAAACCGTACGCATTGACATAGACACTATATAATAGTAATAATAAAACATATTTTTTTGACCTATTTTTAGAAGACTTCTTCTCTTATTCACAGGTAATAATCACACATTTTTGAATTAAAATGAAGCCTAAAGTCAATGAGGATCTGCAGAAAGAACGCCTTAAATGTACATTTAACACTGAGGAACTTACAAATTTTTTGGATGGAGGTGCTGATAAAACACTTAATAGAAGAAATCTCGGTTTGTGGTTGATTAATTGTTAAAAATAGTGTATTAACATGTAAATATTCTAATCAAAAACATTTTTAGAATCCTTTTTTCTATCTGATATCAATTTGAAGGATAAAATTCCTATGGAATACCTAAGTCACAAAGAACGTTATGAAGAAGCTGTACGTAAAAGTTGTGTTTTATTCAAAAAAGTAAATGAATGGCAACAAAATAGTGATAGTGGTAGCAATTCAATGGAAGTTTATAAGTATGAACAAATGAAAACACATGCAATTATGGTTTATATTTATCAATAAAATTTTAGATCACTTCTTGGTGGATCAGTGGGTAGTGCAATAATTAAAGATGGTTCCCCTTTTGCTGTACATTATGTTATGTTTATACCAACAATTATGGGTCAGGGTACCTTGGAGCAACAAGGAGAATGGGTTGGTCGAGCTTTCAGCAATCAGATTATAGGCACTTATGCTCAGGTATTTCACTATTTAGATTTTGGCTTTTTTTAGAAAAGTTAAGTTAAACAAAAAAAAATTACCATGATATCTGACATAGACTGAACTTGGCCATGGAACATTTATTCGAGGCTTAGAAACAATTTGTACTTATGATCCAGCTACAGAAGAATTTGTTTTGAATAGTCCTACATTAACTTCATATAAATGGTGGCCTGGTGGACGTAAGTTATTATGCAATGTAATTTATTTAGTTAATTGCAATAGTTTTAAATTTTTAGTTGGTCATACCTGTAACTATGCCGTTGTGATAGCTCAACTTTACACTCAAGGAAAATGTCATGGTATTCACCCATTTATAGTTCAACTCCGAGATGAGGAAACATGGGAGCCAATGCCTGGTTAATAATATATTACTGAATTAAATTTTATGAATTATGGTTTTAATAGTTGAATTTTTTTTTTTTTGTTACTTTGGTATTAGGCATAAAAATTGGTGAAATTGGTGGCAAATTAGGTATGAACTCAACTAATAATGGATTTTTAGCATTCAATAATGTGAGAATACCCAGAATGAATATGCTGATGAAAAATGCCCAAGTTCTGAAGGTACAATATTAATATATTCTTGTTTGATTCATAGATCCATTAATATGTACATAAATATTGTATAACTGAAAAGTGATTCATAACTTACTATTAATGGTGCATATTATGCAGTAAAAATAAAAATAAATTGTTGATGATAAAACATTGTTTACAATATCATTATGTATCTATCATATGCTTTAAATACTGTTTGAAAACTAAATGTATATTACATTCATTTAGTTGTTTTTTTTTAAGGATGGTACTTATAAAAAATCAGTGAATGATAAACTAACTTATGGYACCATGATTTTTGTACGTGTAGTAATTGTTAGGGATTTAGTATCAAGTTATATATCAAAAGCTGCTATAATTGCAACTAGATATAGCTGTGTCAGAAGGCAATCAGAACTAAAACCCGGGTAAATGAATTATTTAACATTAAGAGGATGTCAGCGCACTATTTGTTTTCTCTCTCTGACSCACGCGTAACATGGACAAAACGCATTTACGAAGAATCATTTTTTCTATGTCTTTAAGTAATTTTAGAGTAAAACCTTCCATTACAAAAAAGATAAAGAATAATATTTTTGAGGTAATGACATATTGATTTTATATTTTATTGATATTTAACTTTGTATTCGACTTTCAAAATAAACAAAAAAATACTTTACATTTAAATAATGTTTAAATAATTTAGAGACAATATTTAGACAAATCGATGGCATTCCCTCAAAAATATTATTTTCTATCTTTTTTGTAATGGGAGGTTTTACTCTAAAATTACTTCACAATATAGAAAAAATGATTCTGCGTATATGTGTTTTGTCTATGTTACGAGCAAGCCAGATAGAGAAAACAAATAGTGCGCAGACATCCTCTTAAAGCTAATA